ATTTTTAAGGAAAATTTTAAGGGGACCCGGGAGGGAGGGAGGGGGTTGTAAAAGTGGACCTGGGGGGGTCCAGATAGCGACTGCACGGGATGATGGGTTAATTAGCTGCAGCAGAGGGGTCGCGAAAGGAAATTTAACCAGGGGGCAGGGGGACGATAGAAAGGGCTGTGTAATTGAAATCATGAGTGGGAGGGGCAGGTATGACGGGCGCAGGGGGTCATATCAAGTGTCGGGGGTGCGCACACGCTGTCTCCGAGTGATTGCGCACTCCGGCCCCCAATGCGTGACTCGTGTCCTGGGTTGTATAGAGCCTCATGCCCAGGGTCTGCGGCTGATGTTATGTAATGCCAGGTCAGTGGTTAATAAGGCCTCCCTCATCTGTGATCTTATTTCGGAGGGGGGTGCAGACCTGGCAGGTATTACGGAGACCTGGTTGGGCCAAGAGGGGGGGGTCCCCCTCGTAGAGATGTGCCCGCCAGGTTTCCGTGCATTTCATCAGCCAAGGGCCCAGGGGAGGGGTGGGGGAGTGGCGGTGATCATTAGGGAGAGTCTTTATCCGAGGGAGACCACTGTTCCTCAGATAGCCGGATGTGAGTCCCTTTGTGTGAAGTGGGGCCGTGGGGTGCAGATGGGTCTGCTGACTACGTACCTGGCTCCCTGCCACATGGCAGCAACCCTGCCCGAGCTACTCGACATCATTGCCGGGGTGGCGGTCGATACCCCCAGACTTATTGTCATGGGGGATTTCAACCTCCCATCCACAGGTGGGGCGTCAGAGGTGGCTCGGGAGTTCATGGCTTCCATGACGGCCTTGGACCTGACCCAGTTAGTTCAAGGCCCCACTCACATAGGGGGACACACTCTGGACCTGATTTTTATCTCTGGTCAGTGGTTGAATGATCTTGGTAGAGGGGACCTAGACATCAAACCCTTGTCATGGACAGATCATTCGCTCCTTCACTTAGACTTTCCTACCGCTTTCCCCCGCCGCAGGGAGACGGAACCAACCAGATGGTTCCGTCCCAGGCGCCTGATGGATCCCGAAAGGTTCCTGACGGAGCTTGGGCCGTTTCCTGAGACTCTAACACACGACTCGACTGAAGAACTGGTGGCCGCCTGGGAAAGGGCGGCCGCTGGAGCTTTGGACCGCGTCGTGCCTTTGCGGCCTCTGACCCGATGCCGATCTCAATTAGCTCCTTGGTTCTCTGAGGAGCTGAGAGAGATGAAGCGTTGGAAAAGACGCCTAGAGAGCATTTGGAGGACTAGTCAATCCGATTCTGACCGGACACAGGTGAGGTCTTATATCAAGACCTACCTAGTGGCGATAAAAGAGGCAAAATCTAACCATTTTTCCGCTCTTATTGCATCTGCAGAGAACCGCCCAGCTGCCCTGTTTAGGGTGACCCACTCCCTTCTTCGGGGGGGAGTACGGGAAGATCCCTTGCAGGGTCGTGCTGAGGATTTTGTGCAATTCCTGCATGATAAAGTCGCTCGGATTCGGGATGGCTTGAACTCCGATTGGATGAGTCCACGGGAGGAGACCGGGGCAGGTCTTGAGAATGTTATCTGGGAGGAGTTTGATCCTGTGACTCCCGAGGATGTGGACAGAGTTCTGGGTAAGATTAGTGCCACCACGTGTTTATTGGACCCGTGCCCCTCCTGGTTGGTACTGGCCTCCCGGGAGGTTACACGAGGCTGGCTCCAGGGGATTATAGGTGCTTCTCTGAGTGAGGGTGCCTTTCCTGCCGCCTTGAAAGAGGCGGTGGTGAGGCCCCTCCTCAAGAAGCCTTCCCTGGACCCGGCTGAATTAGCTAACTATCGTCCAGTCTCCAACCTTCGTTTTGTGGCGAAGGTTGTTGAGAGCGTGGTGGCACGACAACTTTCCCGACACCTGGATGAAGCTATCTATCTAGACCCGTACCAGTCGGGCTTCAGGCGGGGGTACAGCACAGAAACGGCATTGGTCGCGTTGGTGGATGATCTCTGGAGGGCTCGGGACAGGGGTTGCTCCTCTGTCCTAGTCCTATTAGATCTCTCAGCGGCTTTTGATACCATCGACCATGGTATCATGCTGCAGCGGTTGAGGGGGTTAGGAATAGGGGGCACCGTTTTGTGGTGGTTCTCCTCCTTCCTCTCCGACCGCTCGCAGTTTGTGTTGGCAGGGGGACAGAGGTCGACCTCGAGGGGTGCCGCAAGGGGGACAGAGGTCGACCTCGTCTCACATGGGGGGTGCCGCAAGGGTCAGTCCTCTCGCCCCTCCTGTTCAATATTTATGTGAAGCCGCTGGGTGAGATCATCCGTGGTTTTGGGGTGAAGTGCCATCTGTACGCTGATGATACTCAGCTGTACATCTCCACCCCAGACCACCCCAATGATGCCCTTGATGTGTTGTCTCGCTGCCTGGAGGCCGTGCGGATCTGGATGGGGAAGAACTTGCTCAGACTCAACCCCTCCAAGACCGAGTGGCTATGGCTTCCGGCGCCCCGATATAGTCAGCAGGTGCCATCGCTAACTATTGGGGGTGAATCTCTGCCCCCCACAGAGAGGGCTCGCAATCTGGGTGTCCTTCTGGATGCACGGCTGTCTTTAGAAGAGCATATGACGGCCGTGGCCAGGGGGGCCTTTTATCAGGTTCGCCTGATTCACCAGTTGCAGCCCTTTCTGGATCGGGACGCCCTACGCACGGTCACTCATGCCCTTGTTACTTCCCGGTTGGACTATTGTAATGCTCTCTACATGGGGCTCCCCTTGAAGAGCACTCGGAGGCTCCAACTGGTCCAGAATGCGGCCGCGCGGATGGTTATGGGCGCAACTCGTTGTGCCCATGTGACACCCCTCCTGCGCGAGCTGCACTGGCTCCCAGTGGTCTTCCGGGTGCGATTCAAGGTGTTAGTTACCACCTTTAAAGCACTCCATGGCATAGGACCCGGGTACCTCCGAGACCGTCTTCTGCCACCAATAGCCACCCACCGACCAGTCCGTTCCCACAGGGAGGGTCTCCTCAGGGTGCCGTCAACCAAGTTATGTCGACTGGCAGCGCCCAGGGGGAGGGCCTTCTCTGTGGGAGCCCCATCCCTGTGGAACGAACTGCCGCCGGAAATTCGTAAGATCTCCGACCTCCGGGCGTTTCGCTGCGCACTGAAGACCCTATTATTCCGCCAGGCCGGACTAACAACACAATAGTTTTTAAATTGGGATATTTAAATTTATTGGGGTTTTAAATCTGAGCCACTTTATTTAATTATTTTAAATTTTATATTGTTGTTTTGTTTGTGTTTTTAAACAGGCTGTACACCGCCCTGAGTCCTTCGGGAGAAGGGCGGTATAGAAATAAAATTATTATTATTATTATTATTATTATTATTATTATTATTATTATTATTATCATCATCTTTAAAATGGACAGTATAAGAGAAAAAAGCCATTCCATTTGGTAAAAAAAAAAAGTATATTAAGTTAGTTCCACAGATGAAAGAAACAAACCTTCATGCAATAGATTCAACAGATCAGCAATGCACTTAGAATTCATATGCTCTCATATGTTTTAAATAAGGGGTAACTTTTTAGATTAACATTAAAAAAAACCCAATCTAATCATAGGTAGGAAGAACCTAACTAGAAACCATATAGGAAGAGTACATATCAATAGCCATCATTTACAAAAACTTAAATTTTAAGCATAAGAGCTCTAACTCTAAGCCGTCACTTAGAGCACACAAACATACACACTGTTATCTTTAACAGGAAGGGGAGTGAAGTGATATTAACTGAAACACAATAATATTGGGGGAAAATTAACTATTGAAATCCTTATGGCAAATGTAAGATATTACTAAAATAGTCACAATTTTCATAGCAATTAAGATAACGCAGTTGGCAGAAATGGCAAAATTTACCACTGATGAAAAAAACCCCACCTAACTTTGTTTCTTCTTGGAAACCTCTTTTGGATTATTTGCTTGAAACTGAAAAAAATGAAATTTTAACCTTTGGATTTAATGACCAGAACTGTATCTGATTATAGAAGTACAGTATGCTATGGTATACTCCTGTTCAAAGGCTTATTCTGTCATATTCTTGCATCTGTATGAAACAAAGTGGGAACTTACTCTTTTCTATAACCTTTTCCTCTTTTCCTTTTGCACAGGAATTTTGTTTTTCCCCCACTTTCCATTTTCCCCCCTCTTTGCATTTTAACTTTTTTTTAAAAATTCAATAAAGTTGCTTTTTTCATTGCTCTTATTTAAATATGTAATCTTCTTTTGTTCTACAGTTACATAGAGAAAACATTTTCAAATATTTTGCACTGAATGTTTTACACTAGAAAAAATAACAGTGTTGCATAGCATAACAAAACAAAAACAAAAAAGCCAAAACAAAGCACCATATAATAAAAAAAGTGCTAAAACTTTAGGAAGTTGTGATCATTAAAACTGTAGCTTTTATACTGAATAGCATTAGATTTGGAAAAAGTAATTATTTTTAAATAAATTATTAAATAAATTATTTTATTAATTTTACAGTAGAGATATAAATTCTATATTTTTTCTGTTTTACAAAGATAACTAGTCTTATTTGCTAACAGAACACTTCTTAATGGAATGCTCTTTTTAAAAAGGGGGGTTGAAAGTATTTTTAATAATAGAACTGTAACTTTTCAAAAAAGATATTCCAACATACAAAGGCAAAGAATAATTTGTATGCATTATTTACTGTTCAATTTATATATAGTTTCTGAAGATAATTTGGCATGAAATCCAAATATAAAGGAAAATTGTTCCACTAGAAACAATATGTAGATTGTGATATTTTTTTTTAATTTATACTCTGCAAATATTTAAACAGTAGTGTGAAAAAAAAAAACAAATCAGACTTCTATTTAAAACAGGTTTGCTAAAAAATTAATTCAAAAGATTTTAATTTTTTTACATTTATAGACATGTTATTGTAGCTATTTGTGCTAATACATAGAAAAATCAGTGTCTAAATATTTTACATACCTTTTGTTTGATGATCATGTCATTGATTTCATCACGATCACTGACGGTAACTATATGGGATTGTATTACTCGATCCAACAGAGAAAGCCAGTCATTGAGATCTGCCCATGCCTTATTGAAATCAACCAGGGCTGGTACCTCTAGAAGCAAAGATGATGGCATTTCTTGTTTGGAGATGGTAGTTTCCTTGGATACTAGAGTTTCTGTAACCACAGTAACAGTTTGGTTAAGAAGTTACTGACAAGAGGAAAGTGTGTTAATACATTTTTTTGTAATGGAAATCATTTTTCCATTATTATTTATTTCAACTGCCCTCATGGAGCACATGGCACATGGAGCCCTCTCCGTGGGCATGCGAGCCGTCACCCAGCTCAGCTCCACCGTGCATGCACGTGCACCTCCCACTAGCCAGCTGATTTTTTGGACTCTGGCTTGGGGGCGAGGTGCATGCGGGAGATGCGCAAGCATGCACAGGGATTCTCATGTGCATGTGAGGAGGCGTGAGGGGGTCTCATGCACACGTGCAGGGGTGGGGGGAGTGTGGGGGAGCAGTGTGACCGTCCCATTGCCTCTTTTTGGTCCCAGGAGGCTTCAGAGAGGCCTGCCAGGCCCAAAATTGGCAGTGGGGGGGGTGTCACATGCACATGTGCAGGAGTGCAGGGGTGTGTGCACACTTGCGTGGGGGCAGGGGGGGCACAGGGGGGTCACACATGCATGTGCAGGGGGAGCGTGGGGTGGTCATGTGTACATGCATGGGTGCGTGGCATGGGGGGCATTGCATTATGGGTGTGGGCACACATGTGCATGACCCCCTTGTGCTCTCCTTGGCATGTGACAGCAAAAGGTTAGCCATTATTGAACTAGGCAATAAAGTTAAGGAGCTAGGAGCATAAGTAGTGTTCTCATCATTACTCCCAACAAAAGGTCAACACCCATTGAGGGAAAAAAAAATCCTAGAAATAAACCACTGGCTAAAGGGTTGGTGTTGCCAAGAAAACTTTGGTTTCCTGCAGCATGGACTACATTACCTAAAAGAAGGACTCTTGGCAAGGGATGGGCTGCACCTCAGAAAAACAGGGGAAAATGTATTTGGTAAAAGACTGGCCCAACTCATCAGGAGGGTTTTAAACTAAAATTGAGGGGGGAGTGTGACCAATCTTTAGAATCTCTAGAACACAAAACCAATCATAAATCCCAAGAAAACAAATCAAACAATGAGGTAGGGAGTGATGGGAAAAAAGAAAAACCCAAACAACAATTAGGAGATGCAGGAACCATATCCATGGGCATATATAAAAGTGGTTTTTTATTTAAAAAGTTTTAACAATCATTACAACAATTTTCCACCTCCCACCCCCCATCCCCCTCTCCCTCCAACCCCCCTCCCCCCCAACACCCACCCCCCCGGACTTCCCAGAGCAAAAACAGGGTATAGCATAACAAACATAAGCTAAAATAAGCTAACTTTCTGTGGTCTCCAAACTCCCCCTTGCTCTTTAACTCCCCTTTCAACTAACTAAACATATTCAAAAAGAAAATATAAATTTCATTCATAAGCTATTTGAAACTTTTTAGTTCAATATTTGTTTTGAATATAGTCAATCCATCTTCTCCATTCCAATATATATCTTTCATTTGAATGGTCCTTCAAATATGCTGAAATTTTAGCCATCTCTGCTGAATTCACTACTTTTAGTGTCCATTCTTCAATAGTAGGCAAGTCTTCTTCTTCCAGTACTGTGCCACCAAGAGTCGTATAAGACGCCTAGAGAGCAGTTGGAGATCTAATCGCTCCGAATTACCTAGTGGCGATAAAAGTGGCAAAATGTAACTATTTTTCCGCTCTTATCACATCGGCAGATAATCGCCCGGCCGCCCTGTTTAGGGTAACCCGCTCCCTCCTCCATCTGGGAGCGTGGGAGGATCCCTTGCAGGGTCATGCTGAGGATTTTGTCCAGTATCTGCACGATAAAATCACTCAGATTCGGGAAGGCTTGGTCTCTGACTGGGTAGGTACAGACGGGATGATGGGTGCCGGTCTTGAGACTGCCATTTGGGAGGAGTTTGATCCTGTTGCTCCCGAGGACGTGGACAGGATACTGAGGCGGCTGAATGTGACCACATGTTTATTGGACCCGTGTCCCTCCTGGTTGGTAGCCTGGTTGGCCTCCCGGGAGGTTACGCGAGGCTGGCTCCAGGGGATTATCAACACTTCCTTGAGTGAGGGTGTCTTGCCATCCGCCTTGAAAGAGGCGGTGGTGAGGCCACTCCTCAAGAAGCCTGCTCTGGATCCGGCTGTTTTGGCTAACTACCGTCCGGTCTCCAACCTTCCCTTCTTGGCGAAGGTTGTTGAGAGTGTGGTGGCGCGACAGCTTCCTCGGTACCTGGATGAAGCTGTCTATCTGGATCCGCTCCAGTCTGGCTTCAGGCCTCGGCACAGCACGGAAACGGCATTGGTCGCGTTGGTGGATGATCTCTGGAGGGCTCGGGATAGGGGTTGCTCCTCTATCCTGGTCCTGTTAGATCTCTCAGCGGCTTTTGATACCATCGACCATGGTATCCTGCTGCGCCGGTTGGAGGGGTTGGGAGTGGGGGGCACCATTCTGCGGTGGTTCTATCTCTCTGACTGGTTGCAGTCAGTGTTGGCAGGAGGGCAGAGGTTGACCCCGAGGCACCTTGTTTGTGGGGTGCCTCACGGGTCGGTCCTCTTGCCCCTTCTGTTCAACATTTATGTGAAGCCGCTGGGTGAGATCATCCGTGGCTTTGGGGTGGACTTCCATCAGTATGCTGATGATATGCAGCTGTACATCTCCACCCCAGGCCATCCCAACGATGCCCTTGAAGTGATGTCCCGGTGCCTGGAGGCTGTGCGGATCTGGATGGGGAGTAAGAGGCTTCGACTCAACCCTTCCAAGACCAAGTGGCTGTGGCTTCCGGCGTCCCGATATAGCCAGCTGGTGCCATCGCTGGATATTGGGGGTGAGTTATTGGCCCCCACGGACAGGGCTCGCAACTTCGGCGTCCTCCTGGATGCACGGCTGTCTTTAGAAGAGCATATGACGCCCGTGGCCAGGGGGGCTTTTTATCAGGTCCGCCTGATTTGCCAGTTGCGTCCCTTTCTGGATCGGGACTCCTTACACACAGTCACTCAGGCACTCGTCACTTCCCGCCTGGACTACTGCAATGCTCTCTACATGGGGCTCCCCTTGAGGAGCACCCGGAGTCTCCAACTGGTGCAGAATATGGCTGCGTGGGGGATTATGGGAGCGAGGGGGCGCTCCCATGTGACATGTGACACCTCTCCTGCGTGCGCTGCATTGGCTTCCAGTGGTCTTCCAGGTGCGCTTCAAGGTGTTGGTTACCACCTTTAAAGCACTCCATGGCATAGGACCTGGGTATTTGTGGGACCGCCTTCTGCTGCCAATAGCCTCCCACCGACCAGTACGCTTCCACAGAGAGGGACTCCTCAGGGTGCCGTCAGCCAGGCAATGTCGGCTGGCGACCCCCAGGGGGAGGGCCTTCTCTGTGGCAGCTCCTGCCCTCTGGAACGATTTGCCCCTGGAGATATGAAGGATATCGGATCTCCGGGTCTTTCGCCGTGCCCTGAAAACTTTTCTTTTCCATCAAGCAGGGCTGGCGTGAACCCCCCTCTTCTTTAGTCTTTTTTAGTTTTTTAGCTTCATTTCATTTCATTTTATTAAATTTGTATACCGCCCTACTCCCGAAGGACTCAGGGTGGTGAACAGGCACAAAATAAAACACATAAATACAAAAGTTAAAACATGATTAAAACCCAATTAAATAATTTTTGCCCGAGACAATTTAAAACTCCCAGTAATTTAAAACGAATTAAAATTTCAGTTTAAAAATTTAAAAGAAGGGGAGAAAATTAGGCCAGGACGGCCTGCTGGAATAGGAGTAACTTCAAAGCACGGTGGAAAGTGCGCAGATCCGGGATCCTCTGTATCTCCGGGGGGAGCTCGTTCCAGATAGTAGGTGCCCCCACAGAGAAGGCCCTCCCCCTAGGGGCCGCCAGTCGACATTGTTTGGCTGACGGCACCTGGAGGAGCCCCTCTCTATGAGAGCGTACCGGCCGGTGGGAGGCTGTTTGTAGTAGTAGGCGGTCCCGTAAGTAGCCAGGTCCTAAGCCAGCTTTTAAATTGTCAATGGGTTTTAATTTGAATTGTTTTAAATTTGGGGCAAAGTTATGTAATTCTTTTAATAATTTTAAATTTTGTATTGGTATGTGTTTTAGTTCTGGCTGTCCACCGCCCTGAGTCCACTAGGAGGAGGGCGGTATACAAATTGAATAAAATAAATAAATAAATAAATAAATATGATAATACGTGGCATCATCACATTCACATCTCCAACACTTAGGTTGCCCACTTGGATACATACAGGCTAGCTTTTCAGGATCCAGATGCCATCTATAAAACATTTTATAAAAATTCTCTCTTAAATTTTGGGCTTGCGTGAACTTCACATTTCTAACCCATATTTTTTCCCATGTTTCCAACATTATTGGTTCTTCAATATTTTGTGCCCACTTTATCATACAGTCCTTAACTAACTCCGTTTCTGAATCTATTTCTACCAACGCATTATACAACCTTTTTAAATGCATTTGACTTTGATCTCTAATCTGTTTTACCAAGTTCTCCTCATTTTGCAGAAAACCAATTTTCTGATCTTCTCTCCATCTAGCTTGCAACTGTACATATTGAAACCATGTTCGAATTGTCCTTTCTTCTCTTAGTTGATTCAAAGATTTTAATTGTAGTATACCTCTTTCCTTGTTAAGAAGCTCTTTATATGTAATCACATCCTGCCTTTGCTCTACACTTATATTCTCTATTGCGTGTCTGGGTATTGTCCACAATGGTAACTTCTCGTTTAGTTTATACTTGTACTTTTTCCAGACACGCAATAGAGCATTCCTTAATATATGACTTTTAAAAGTCTTGTCCACTTTCTTATCATATAATAAATAAGCATGCCACCCGTAAACCAAATCATATCCCTCAATATTCAATATTCTTTCTTCTGTTAAATTCAGCCAATCACTCATTGCTGATAGAACAGCTGCCTCATAATATAGTCTTAAGTTAGGCATTTTGAGACCTCCTCTTTCACGTATATCCTGCATTATTTTTTGTTTTATTCTCGGTCTCTTCCCTGCCCAAACAAAATTATTAATACC